AGAGCCGGGCCTGGGAGGGCTCCGCAGGGCAGCAGGGACAGGTGTGGAGGCAGCGTGTGGACGCCAGGCAGCCAGGCAGGGTTCCTGGCTCTCACAGGACCGCTCAGTGTTCACTCCCTGCTGCTCATCCCCGGGCGTCAGCCCAGCCCCACCTCCCATCCTGGCACCCAGGGCTGGTAGCTCCAGAGTCCTGTCCAGCACGTCTCCCTGCAGACCCAGCAGTCTGTGGTACGAATGCTCCCACACGCTGCTCTGAACCTCACAGCCGCACAGGGCCTGCCAGTCATCTCACGCTGACCCCTGCAGGTGGGAAGTGGACCCTGACTACTGTGAGGAGGTGAAGCAGACACCGCCCTACGACAGCAGCCAGGGCATCCTGGACATCATGGACATGACCATCTTTGACTTCCTCATGGGTAGGTCAGGGCCCTGCAGGCACAGTGCCCAGTCTGTAGCAACCACACAGTACCCAGAGCTTGCAGCCCCAGGGTCTCGGGAGGGGCCTCCTGCTTTGGGGTGGGCAGGCTGAAGCCTGCGAGCCACAGGGCATCTACCAAGTGGCTGTTTGTGCTACTCACACAGGGAACATGGGCAACCACTATTGTGAGACCTTCGAGAAGTTCAGCAATGAGACAATCCTCATCCACCTGGACAATGGCAGGGGATAAGTCACAGGCTTCCAGAGGCCACTGGGAGGCCCCCAGACACCTCGTCCCCAGTCCTCATGGCGACCCTGTCCTCTGAGGGCCCGTGGGGACAGTGAGACCCAAAGGTTGAGACTCAGGTTGGAGGTTGCAGCTCCTGAACAGGGCCCAGTGCTCAGGGTACCTGGGGCGGGACCATGGGCCGAGCCAAGTACTGCCTGGGGCCTAGGGCTAGGCTGTGCTGCATAGCCTCTGCCCACCACCCACTGTGATGTCATCTCTCTCCAGGTTCGGGAAGTATTCACACAATGAGCTTTCCATCCTGGTGCTGCTATAGCAGTGCTGCAGGTATGGCCCCACCCTCCCTGTTCACAGGGCCACAGCCCCAGTCACAGAGCCATGCCCCTGTTCACAGGGCCGCGCCCCCACAGGCATAGGTTCTACCCCATAGTCACAGAGCCATGCCCCCTATTCACGGGGCCACACCCCCACAGACACAGACTCTACCCCATGGTCACAGAGCCATGCCCCCTATTCACGGGGCCACACCCACAGTCGCAGGTCCCATCCATGGTCACAGAGCCATGTCCCCTGTTCACGGGGCCACACCCACAGTCACAGGTACCATCCATGGTCAGAGAGCCATGCCCCCTGTTCACAGGGCCACACCCCCACAGACACAGACTCTACCCCATGGTCACAGAGCCATGCCCCCATGTTGACAGCCCACACTCCCACAATCACTGGCCCACCGCAGTCAGCCTCCTCACAGCTATGGGCCCTGCCCCTGTTTACACTGCCTTGTCCCCACAGTCACAGAAGCCCCACCCTCTTCCCCTGCCCCAGCCCCCCTCTCCACCAGGAGGTAGGGTGGTCTGCTCAGTAGCCATGCAGGATCCACTGCCCAACCATTATGTCAGCACCGGCTCCTGGACAAGGGGTCATTGCTGGCCACATCTGGCCCCAGCACACAAGCACCCTGCAAGGCAGGCCCCTCAGCCATTGTGAAGCCAAGAGGCAGGGGCCTAGAAGAGCAGGGGGCCCCTGAGGGTTGCCCAGAGACTGACCACCCCTCCCAGAGGACTCCCAGCCACCCCTCCCACCTCTGTCTGTCTGTCCCCTGCCTGTGTCCCTGTGTTTCTCCTGCCCCCAGTCTCTGAACTTGGCAGTCAGTCCTGGTAGCCAGGTAGGTGTCTCTCCCCTACCCCCCAGGATCAGGGAGTCCACCTACCTGTGGCTGCAACTGCTGACCAAGGAGGAGTTCAAGCTGAGCTTGCTGATGGCTGAGTCACTGCAGCGGGACAAGGTGGCGCCTGTCCTGTACCAGCTGCACCTGGAGGCCCTGGATCAGCGGCTGCACATGGTGCTGCAGGCTGTACAGGACTGCATTGAGAAAGACGGAATGCCCAGTGTGGTGGAGGAGGACCTGGGCCCTGAACACAGAGCGGTCCCCGCGAGGTAGTGACTGGCCCACCAGCCATGGCTGCAGCCAATGCTCACGTGTCCGAGTGCCACTCTGTGGAACTCGATCCTGGCCAGGTGGGGAGGAGGCGCTGTCCACGACCAGACCTCTGTGGGACGGGGGGCCGTGTTCCCTCTGTCCACACGTGGTGCTTGAGAGAATGCAGAGCCAGCAGCTCCTACCACCTGCAACTGCACATCCAAGGCCTCGTGCTCGCTCAGTCCACACCACTGTGGCGGTCTGCCTGCTCCGTGCTTCAGGATTAGGATCCTCCTGCACCTCGTCAGGGGAGATCCACAGATCTTCCACTCATGTGTCCTTGCCAAGGCAGCCAGGTCCTTCATTGAGGTGCCGTGCATCCCCTGCTGGCCCTGGACATTGGTGTGGACAACACAGGGTCAGGAGCAGAGTCCTAGCTGGAGGAAGGCTCCTTCCATGGCACTGCTGTGGAATGGTTGGCAATATGATAAAATGCAATAAAGACAGCAAACACATCTGTGGCCTTGCAAGCAAGGCCATCGTCCTAGCCCAGCTCCTGCCCAATGCATCAACCACATGGGCCCTCCTGGCCCCTGCCCAGTACAATGGCCACATGGATCCTCTCAGTCCCTGCCCAGCTCCTGCCACGTGCGCCCTTCTGGCCCCTGCCCAGCTCCTGCCCAATGCGTCGCCCACATGGGTCCTCACCCCAGCCCAGCTCTTGCCCAGTGAGTTGGCCACATGGGTCCTCCCAGTTCCTGTCCAGTGCTTCAGCCGCCTGGGCCCTCCCAGCCCCTGCCCAGTGTGTCAGCCACCTGGGCCCTTGCCCCAGCCCAGCTCCTGCCCAGTGTGTTGGCCACATGGGTCCCCCCAGCCCCTGTCCTGTCCGTCAGTCCCTGGGTGCTCCTGGCCCCTCTTCTGCAGTCCACACCACCCCTGCTCTCTCCACCCTAGAAGCTCTGTTCCTCACCTCCCATTTTCCCCAAGAAGAGGAAACTATGGCGAGGCAGGCCAGGCCTCTGGGACCAGCTCTGCTTACACTGCCTAGAGCCCCAGGAGATGGGGACAGAGCTACCCAGCCAGGAGCAGCCCAGCCTGCACCCACCCAAGTGCCTGGGTGCCCACTCCAGTTGCTGGAGTGTGCAGGGATCAGCCTTAGGTTGGGTCCTGGCTGTCACTGTCCAGCACCATGGCCCAGGGTCTACTCATTGACATGGAGCAGCCATGATGTGCAGGCAGGGAGGCATGACAATTCTGAGTCAGTCACAGACCCACAGCACAACCTGACCCCAATGTGGCTGCTTTGTGGGACCTTACAGGAGAGGATCAAGTGTGAACCATCAGGCTGAGGGCAGACCAGGGGCAGACACCACACACAGACCAGGGGGATGCTAGCCAAAGGCCAGGCTGACATTCAGAGTGTGAACCACCAGGCTCGTGGTCTGTGGGAATAACCGAGTCCTTCCCTGACCATGGACACATGGACTGGCTCCTCCCTGACTGTAGACATGCAGGACCCGGCCCCTCCCCGACTGTGGACACGTGGACCGGCTCCTCCACAACTATGGAATGCGGTACCCGGCCCCTCCCTGACCATGGACATGCAGGACCCAGCCCCTCCCCGACTGTGGACCCATGGGACCCAACCCCTCCCCGACGTGGACACAGGGGACCAGCCCCTCCCCGACCGTGAACACATGGGGTCCGGCTCCTCCTGATTATAGACAGAACCCAGAAGACACTGGGCTAACTAGCTAGACACCAACAGAGCCCGCAGCCTGAAAGATCCGGAGACAAGCCGAGCAGCTGGGAGGGTGTGGACCCCTAGCATTTCCCATGCATTAGCATTTGGTCTGACACCAAAATCCCAAAGCCCCTGTGTGGAGGTGGGAGTGCGGAGGGGAAGGTCCTCTCCCGTGTGGCTGCATTGCTACCTGCATCTGACAAGGAGGATGGGGCCAGAGGCTGGGGGATCTGGGGCGCTGGGTGCCTGCTCGGCTCACACTGACTTGTCCCTCCCTGGGCTGCCTCAGGTTGCCCGCTGCCCCCAGACTCCCCTGCCAGATGTGTCCAAGTGTGGGACACAGCTCATGGCTGGTCCCCCTGCACCCCCTGGAGGATCTCCTGAGAAAAGCAAGAATTAGCCATGGGAACGTGCCAGGCCCAGGCCAGCCTGGACCTCACAGTGTCCCAGGCCAGGGTGGGCACATTGCCAGCCCACCACCGGCCCTAGGACATGTGGGACCCAGCCAAGTCAAGTCAGCCTTCCTGGACCCACTGCTGCTGAACCAGGGGACCATGCCCTTCACCGTGGACTGACCATGCAGCCTGCAGTGTTATCAGAACCACATGGGGGTTCCAGGCCCTCCCTATGTGGACTGACCATACATCCTACAGTGTAAACAGTACCACACAGGATTATCTGGCCCATTTCCATCCAGCCGCACATTGGTTGGAAGCTGCATGAGGGCAGTCCTGGAGCTGCAGTTCACACTGGGCACACCTGTGCAGCCTGACTTTAGAGCCCTCACATAGGTCACAGTAAGCTGACCCTAAGCACGAGGGTCGGTGGGCTGTGTCATCCTCGTAATGTGGGCCTGTTCTGAGGCAGCAATTGCACATGGTGCACCAAACCAGGTCCCCTGCACAACTGCACCTGTTCACACATTTGCCCAATATCTACCTGTGGGGACCTAGATCCTCTGTATGCCCTGCTCGTCCTCCCCCAGGCCCTCCATGGGTCTCACATGTTCTCCCCCAGGTCCGACATATGTCCTGCTCGTCCTCCCCCAGGCCCTCCGTGTGCCCTGCTCGTCCCCCCCAGGCCCTCCATGTGCCCTGTTCCTCCCCCAGGTCCTCCGTGTGCCCTGCTCCTCCCCCAGGCCCCCCAAATCATCAGGCTCAAGCAGAAGTTAGTGGCTCAGAGGCAAACTTTATTGACCAGGGCACATAATGGAAGTAGATGGTGGCAGGAAGGTCAGGCTTCCAGCATCGCATCGCAGCAGCAAGGCAGACATAGGTAGGGGCATTCGGGAAGCAGAAATGTGGGTGCTGTTGGGTGTGTCGGGAGTGATGGGGGCGAACCATTGGGGGCAGGGTGGGTCCTTTCGGCCGCGGCGGCGGCGGTGGCGGCCGGGGGGGGGGGGTGCGGTAGTCGGAGGGGGGCAGGGCGGCAACAGCAGGGAAGACGACACGTCCTCTTCATCCAACTCTTGTTCCCAATGAGGTGCTCCCTCCCTCTTCATCCACCTAAGCGCAAAACAAAACAAAAACTGAGCAGTGAGTGCCAGCCGGAGTTGTTAGCTTCCGACTGATCATCGCGTCCATTCATCCCACGTGTGCCCAGTCGGCTACTGTTCCGTCCCAGCACCTCTATTATTTTTCCTGTGTGTGCGTGTGCGTGTGTGGTAAAGCACAGGTCGCTAAATCATTCCTCTCCGGCCCCGCCGCACTCCCGGTTTCGCCTGGATACCTTTTCTAGCCTGGGATGCGACGCGGCACACCTGAGCATCGTCTTGGTGGGTTAGTGTTGGGCTAAATAGCAAGCAGGTGGGGAAGCAGAGGCCGGTCATCCCTCAAGGTTGAGCGCAGCTTCCCCTGGTAGAATGAGTGCTCCTTTCTTTCTGAAGCAATGGGAAAAATAAATGCATAAGTCAACGAAAATATGAAATTTAAAGTTTAAACCAATTTTAGAAAGACTCCCCAAGAACACAGAAAGATTTTTTTGAAAAGTAAGAAAAAGAACGTTGGGGCCCTGCCACGTGGCCTAGTGGCTAAAAACAAATAGGTAAACAGCGACACCTGGTGACGAATGTTGCGCGTCATTTGCCGCCTGGCACCTGGTCAACCACCTTCCTTGGAAAAGAAAGGGTTAGGAAGGGAGAGAGAGAGAAAGAGAGAGAGACAGAGAGAGACAGAGAGAGAGAGAGAGAGAGAGACAGAGAGAGCGAGAGAGCCGTTGGGGGGGGGAATCCTAATGTCCACGAAATCGTAACACATAATTTAAAAAATCACAATAAATTAAAAAAAAATACATATCTGAAAGAAAGAAAAAGTGAAGGAGACTTGGAAAGGAGGGGGATGAAGAGAGACCGGCGACGCAGGAAGAAAACAGACGAAAAAGTCAGTTACTATTGAACATCTAAACACGGCGTGGGTGGGAGAGAACCTGGGCAGAGATGCACAGGAGTGGGCAGGGGGAAGGAGAGGGAGAGGGAAGCAACGTGTTAGGAAGACCAAAGACACAGAGCAAACAGGTAAACAGTGACAGCTAGGGACAGAAAGCACCTGACTGACGTACAGCATAACTAAACCAGAAAGTAAGTAACACGGGGCGCCTGGTCGACCAAAGGCGAAACACCTGGTCAACCTGCGGCCCGTGAGACACTTAGTGACACCAGGGCACCTGGTCGACCTTCGGTTAAGCCTTTCTAGACATTAAATGCAACGGAGCACCTGGTCAACCTGCGGCAAGTCCTGCAAGAGAGACTCTGTTATGAGCCAACTGGTCGACCTGTGAAAAAGTAAATGCAATGGGGCATCTGGTCTACCTGCGGCTAAGTCCCATGAAACATTAACTGCAACGAGACACCTGGTCAACCTACGGCATGTCCTTCAAGAGAGACTGTTATGAGACAACTGGTTGACCTGCAAAAAAATGAAATGCAACGGGGCACCTGGTCGACCTGTGACTAAGCCCCTCAAGACATTAAATGCAACAAGGGTTAGGGTTAGGGTTAGGGTTAGGGTTAGGGTTAGGGTTAGGGTTAGGGTTAGGGGTTAGGGGTTAGGGTTAGGGTTAGGGTTAGGGTTAGGGTTAGGGTTAGGGTTAGGGTTAGGGTTAGGGTTAGGGTTAGGGTTAGGGTTAGGGTTAGGGGTTAGGGTTAGGGTTAGGGTTAGGGGTTAGGGTTAGGGTTAGGGTTAGGGTTAGGGTTAGGGTTAGGGTTAGGGTTAGGGTTAGGGTTAGGGTTAGGGTTAGGGTTAGGGTTAGGGTTAGGGTTAGGGTTAGGGTTAGGGTTAGGGTTAGGGTTAGGGTTAGGGTTAGGGTTAGGGTTAGGGGTTAGGGTTAGGGTTAGGGTTAGGGTTAGGGTTAGGGTTAGGGTTAGGGTTAGGGTTAGGGTTAGGGTTAGGGTTAGGGTTAGGGTTAGGGTTAGGGTTAGGGTTAGGGTTAGGGTTAGGGTTAGGGTTAGGGTTAGGGTTAGGGTTAGGGTTAGGGTTAGGGTTAGGGTTAGGGTTAGGGTTAGGGTTAGGGTTAGGGTTAGGGTTAGGGTTAGGGTTAGGGTTAGGGTTAGGGTTAGGGTTAGGGTTAGGGTTAGGGTTAGGGTTAGGGTTAGGGTTAGGGTTAGGGTTAGGGTTAGGGTTAGGGTTAGGGTTAGGGTTAGGGTTAGGGTTAGGGTTAGGGTTAGGGTTAGGGTT